CTCGGAATGAAACTCGGGTGCCTGAGACAACTGAACAATCAGACATCTACAAGTGGCTATACTAACAATTTAAACATCTATGTAGAAACTCAGTAACTATTTCACTCAAAATATACAGAAAAGAACGGCTATTCCTCAATCCCAGATGGGAGTAAATATCAATGCCTCGTGCCTCATACTTTAACAACCCAAGCCCACCGCTAGCAGATATTGTCTACTTTGGCTCATTAGGTATTCTTGTCAGTTTCACGGTTTTGAAACGCATTTGTTAGGGAGAGAGTTCCACACCCTTATAAACAATGCATCGTTCCCTCTCCGACCGATGTGGAATCTCACAATCCACCCCCCTTGGGGGCCAGCATCCTCACTGGCGCATCACCTGGTGTCTAACTCTAATGCCATTTGTAACAACTCAAGCCCACAATTAGCAGATACCGTCCACAAAGTATCGATGTCAGTCTCACGGCTTTGAAACGCGTGTGTTAGTGAGAGATTTTCATACCCTTATAAGTAATGATTAGTTCCCCTATACCGCCGACGTGGAATCTCACACATTCTCATTCCTGTCTTTGTTTCGTTCCCCTTTCCAACTATCAAGCCCACCAATATTCTGGAATACCACACTGTCCTAGAACCCCGACAACCGTACCTTTCAAGTATAGAGAAACCGAAAGGTGTTGCATCGTACGTCTATCTTTGAAATAATTCACCTCCAAGCAATTTATACAAGAGCATTTCAGAACAAACTGAGAATCAAATAACAGTGTCATGTTATATCATCACCTTTGCAGTGACTTCCAGCGACTTGCGATATAGTTCATTGCTAGGATCCTGATGAAAAAAACACCAACTATTTAGACTCAATTCAAGTTGAATGATTTCAAAAGTCAGACTAGTTCAATTAAATCCACACATATCACCTCATCTACTGCCTTCTGGAAACACTCGTGTGCTTTATCAAAATAGACTTTCGCCTCATCCGCGTCGGGAGTCAGAAAAGCATTCGAAGTGTGAGCATTTCCAAGACACCAAAGAGCATCATGCTTCGTGGGATCAATAGCCAATGCCTCCTCCAGCTTCACAACAGCATCTGCACGACCAGATCAGTTTGTTTTCGCTAGCCTATGTTAGTTCATCATCAACTATAACAGCCAAATTAGATTCTTCAGCATTGATAAGGGCAATGGCAATGACATTACCTTTGATCATATCTTTAGAATCAGAAACATTCTGAAATTGAGATAGCTCAAGCAGCGCTCCTCCCCACTTCGTCAAATTCTGAAAGAAAAAAAAATGCATGAACAGAACGATATGAAGCATTGTACTATTTTCAACAGCTTAAATTAGACGATTATATCCACATCCTAGTGAAATCCACCCCCATCCCCGAAAAAGGAATTCAGCTCATAAACTAAGTAGGAATGCAATAAATAGACTAAGAATCAAAAGAACTCATAAACACCTACTGGTGAGATGGATGTCAAATTCAGCGGTAAGTAAAACCAGATTAAAATAGAATAAGAAACATCAAAACAAGTTAATAGGAAGTAAGAAAGAAATACATCAGCATCAAGCGGGTTGTTGGCGTAGTTAGCTTCAGCGGTTTTTCGAGAGTGCTCGGAGAGAAGAAGGCGGTCAAAATCCTCCTGAGAAAACTCCATGGCTGAGGAATCGATAAACAAAAGAGAAAGAAGGATTCAGGCGAGACCTAGGAAGTCAGATTGGAGCTCAAGCGTCCCCAATGTTCTCTCTGACTCACTTGGGTATGGCAACCGGCGGGACCACGCAACCAGTAGGGTTCCATGCGACAGAGCTTTTCTTTGGGCCGAAATTCGTCTAAAGAGGCCCATATTTTAGTTGGGCCTGAAATTTTGTCTAATTTAAAATTTTAAATGAAAATAGCCCATAGGTATTTATGACGGCCCAACTTTGCTCATTTTTTTCCACCGCTACCCCACATGGTACTAACATATAAATTTGAAATTCAATTAAACACAAAATTTAAAATTATATTTGAGAGATCTTTTAAAATGTTAGATAAAATATTTGAAATATATTTTTTAATACATTTATTAAAGTTTTAGTCAGAAAAAATAAATGATTTAAACTCCCGATCTCTTGGCCTAAAATACATTATTAACAACAATTTAGCGGTATATAAATAAATAATAATAATAACTAAGGTTAATACATGCTTTAAATATATATATATATATATATATATATTTTTTGTCGGTTTAAAATATATATATTTTTAAAAGTTAAAATGAAAATTTAAAAGTTAGAATTATTTTTTATTATGATTAACAAGTAGGCCATCAAATAATCTCTTGTCCCTTATAATTTGAGCTTTAAATTAAATAATAAGAAAAGGAACTCCAAAAACAAAAAATAAATAAATAATAATATTAAATTATTATAAAACCGGCCACATAATCATAATTAAAAGTAAAAAAAAAGAATAAAAAAAAGAATAAGAAGAAGATTCATTTCCGTTTGATTCGGTCACCGGCGAACGTGGAAGCCACGTGGACAACCATAGATGGTGGGTCCACGGAGGTCTGATTGTAGCCGATTCTCGAACGCATCACGATTCCGAGAACGAAAAGGAAGCGATACATTTTTTAAAATCCCATTAGAAGCGCATCGGAAGAACAAACCAATCTAGAGGAGAGGAAGACCCACAGATAGAGATAGGCGGCGGAATAGACGGGGATTCGGCGGAGCCGCGAGGAGAGATTCCCTTTCCCTTGCGGTTAACCAGAACGGTTTCGATTATATATATATGTTTATTTCACTAAACTTTTGCCAAGAAACTGCGATTTAGACTGCCCTTCTCCCGTCGTCACTTAGTCAAACCACGAGTACGTTCTTTTTTCAACTTGTTCTGTATTAGGTTTTCTATTTTCGATGTATTTCCTTGTTTTGATACGTTGTTCGTGGTGGATTTTTGGTATTTTGTAGTCTCGATTTGTAAATCTCTATGGTAACTGGCCGATTTGTTTTCATCGAACTCTTGATCTGGTGTAGAAGCGGATTCTTGTTCTGATTTGATCTGTATTAGGTCGCGGCAGTTTTTTTTTTTCATTGAATCTCTTGTAATTGAATATTTCCTTACGATTACGATGATCGAATCCTGATATGAGGGATTGGTATCTTTTTGATAGATTGATGGGGGAATTATTACATCTGAACGGGCTTTGAATATATTTGGTCTGCAGGCTCAGCTTCATTGTTCCTGTGGATGTATCTTGTCGTCATTCAAGAAGAAGATTGGCTTGTGAATTGGCCCGATTCCTTTCTGGGTATTCTCAGGCCGCCTTGTCTGTCTGTTGAGAGAAAGGCCTTCTCACATTGTGTTTCAAGAGATAGATGGGATAAAGAATTCTTCAAGCTTCAGAGCGGATAATATCAATTTGTTGGTGTGAGATCGCTTTTTGAAGTTGTTTTGGTTTCGAGCAGTTGTAAGGTTTTCGCTTATCCAAAATGAATCCGTCTCAAGGGTCTACCTTGTCCGCAAACGTTGCGGGGTTTGTTGACGGCTCCTCTGCAAAAAGAGAAGTCTCATACATTGACAATCTACCTGTTTATGTTAAAGAGCTGATAGCTGGTGGTGCTGCCGGTGCCTTTGCTAAGACTGCTGTTGCACCCTTGGAACGAACTAAGATACTCTTGCAGGTGAGTTTCCTGATGGTTCCTTGAGACTTTCTTCTATCTGAATGCATGACTATGCTGCAATTACTAGACTCTTGGACCAAAGTGTTGCGTAGTAATAATTGGGATGGATATGGAGAATTAGTAACCACTCCTTGAACTATGCTCATGGACCACTTTTTCTACTCCCAAGAGGGCTTTGCCCCTCACCCAATTCAGGCGAAAAGGATTTGAAGTTATGGTCTTCCCCAAGAGCTCATATAGGAAGGTTTGTTACCTTGATGTCGGCTCTTTGCCACCGGATGCTGTTCCGAGGGTTGGGCTGTTTGCCCAAGCCTAAGATTTGGGGGTTATTTCAATATATACTACGCTCTTACCACCAGGCCCTCCTTGGATAATGATGAATTCGTTGGGGTTTTTTTTAGCTAAATAAGCTTATTCACTTTGTGAGAATATGAGATGCAGTTGAGGTTATTATAGCTGTAGGTTATGTCACTAATATGAAGATAATTTGGAATTTGATGGGTTTTTAAAATTTGATCAGCAAACAGCGCCAATACAATTGTTCTATTAGCCACTAAATTTCTATTCTAACCTCTGTGTTGTGAACATTGACAGACGAGAACCGAGGGATTTCGGTCTCTTGGAGTATTTCAATCTATGAAGAAGGTGGTGAAGCATGAAGGTGTTCGTGGTTTCTATAAGTAAGTTCAGAACTTTGTCTAGTGTTTTGTTTTCTTGTCTATAAACTTGTTTCCTCTGAAAATAAGTTATCGAGCTTTTATGCTTTAGGGGAAATGGAGCAAGCGTTGCTCGGATTATTCCTTATGCAGCTCTCCATTTCATGACGTATGAGCAGTATCGATGTTGGATCTTGAATAACTATCCAAGCTTAGGAACTGGGCCTCATATTGATCTTCTAGCTGGTTCAGTAGCTGGAGGAACAGCTGTTTTATGCACATATCCCTTGGACCTGGCACGAACAAAACTAGCTTACCAGGTATATCGTAGTTTAACAATTTAGTCATCTTTCATTATATGAAAATTTTCTTCATCTTATCCCATTTTTACTTCTTATATATTCAAGATATGAATGCTTCCTTTATCTCTTTGTCATCTAACGGTTTGGTTTTTTGCTATGTAGGTTACCGACACAAGAACGAGGAGCGGTTTAGGAAGTTATCATACTCGCCCTGTATACAATGGCATCAAGGATGTTCTAACGAGTGTTTATAAAGCTGGTGGAGTACGTGCACTCTATCGCGGTGTAGGTGTGTCTCTGTTGTCTTGTCTAGATGTGTTACGTCAATTAATTAAGTCAACTTGTATACTCTATATGGGGAAGCTGATGAATAAAGTTACAATATATCAACAGGTCCAACACTTACAGGAATCCTTCCTTATGCTGGTTTGAAGTTCTACATTTATGAAAAACTGAAAAGTCACGTTCCTGAGGAGCATCAGAGATCCATTGTGATGCGACTTTCTTGTGGGGCTCTGGCTGGATTATTGGGGCAGACGTTCACGTATCCGCTCGACGTCGTTAGAAGGCAAATGCAGGTATTATTCTTTGTCATTTTCAAACTTCTTTGTTATGGGTTTTGATCTCCATGATTCTGAAACCAAATTCCTTCGGAAAATACCATCTAAGGTTGGAGATATGCCATCTTCACTTCATGGTCAAGTCAGATTTAGGAACTCAATTGAAGGTCTTACAATGATAGTTCGTAACCAAGGATGGCGGCAGTTGTTTGCAGGACTGAGCATTAACTACATTAAGGTAATGGTTGAAATTATTTTCATCTAGAGGTGCTTTTACCGTCCATTGCTCTGTGCTGTTAACTGTGCATATAATTCTCCCATTTTATGAATTGGCAGATTGTTCCTTCTGTGGCCATTGGATTTGCAGCATATGATAGCATGAAATTATGGCTCCGAATCCCACCTCGTCAGAAGACGCAGTCAATATCTTCTGCTGCATAAAACCCATTCCTCTCCTATGCCGACACCGCATTTAGATTCTAGACTGCCTTTTAATTTAATTGGTCTTTTGCTAATTAGGAAGTGTGAATCTTACTTAAGGATGTAGCTTTCATTCATCTGTATCTGCTTGAGTCTATGGCTAGACGTGCTTTTCCTTCACTCCCTACTTTTTGGGAACTAACAATGAAACAACTTTTATGATTAGACTATATTTGCTGTTGCTATCAATATTTTAATTTTACCAAGATAAGAAAAACAGTTTAATAAAAAGATGGCAGCCAATTAAAAACATATAACCTTCGATTGGTGGTTTGGGACCGATCTTGTTTTCGCTTCCATTACAACACAAACAACACCCATCAAAGGTTCTTCAGGCTTCTGCCTCTGAATCCCCTAACAAAACCTCTCGAGGGAAGAAATTTAGTTCTTAATGTTTAAGAATTCAGCGAATGTCTGGATCTTCGCGGTTTCCTTTTCTGCATATGCCTGCAAATAAAACCACGGAGGAAAAAAATGACCACAAACCAATTTAACACAACAACCAAAAATATTGAAGTATATAATATTGAAATCCCAATGAGTTTCAAAGGATATGATAATCTGTGGCTCCTCTGCATCCTCCTCCACCATTCCTTTCTACGCCACAGCCAGCTGAACACATTGATTTCACTCTCTATATTCTTATGCCTACGGCTTCGGCCGGAGAAACTCCATTTGATCGACGAGATCCTGCAAGTTCTCAGGCCAATCAGGTGGCTCAGCAATCAGATCCTCCACTTCCACATCGATGTCTGATTGATTGCCAACCATTATAGGTTCTTCCTCTGGATACCCAGCCCAAGGATCTTCAGCCCAGAGTTCACTGAAGAACCCCAGTTCCTCGTGAGCTGAGAGACCCACATCCATGGCTGCCATGGGCATGCCATCAGAAACAGGGTCTGTGATCTCGCCGTTTGACTCGCCTTCAAAGTTGACTGCTAACAGCGTCTCCATATCTGGCTCTTCTTGTTTAACAGCCACTGGTACACTCTCTTCCTGGAGATTCTCTACACTTGGGCTGGAAGTCAGTCTTCGCTTTCGTCCGATTTCAACGCCTCTCAATTCTCTTCCCTGATTACTATGGATAAATTTCTGAACGAATGATGGATTCTTAAGGGCTTTGCTGAGGAATGTCATGATCTGCTTCTGTTTATTCTCAGATTTCTCTAGCCTATCCTCCATGGCTATTATTTGCTCTCTTGAGCTCTGGTGTTGCTGACGCAATCTTACCAATTCCGCCATTAACGAGCTTCTGTCCCTTTTCAACCTCTCGAGTTCACCTTCGAGTCCAAATTCACCCAATTCCACACATATTCCTCCTTGGTGGTGCTGGAAGCTTTGGGTTGAATGTCTCCTCCTCTTTATCGTTCTCAGCAGATGTCGCTGTCCTCCCAGAAACCCCTCATTCGCGAACTCCCAACGATCAGGATCGACTTTTCGAAAACCCTATATTGAAGAATTTCAATCCCAACGAGATTAGGTCATCAAGATTTAAAATGAATTTCAGCAAATAGAAGATTGTTGGAGATTGGATTATCCACCAACGAAAACATCGAAAGGTCAAAACACAATCGAACACTAAAAGAATCGAAAATGAAAATCGAACACTAACAGAATCAAAAATGAAAATCGAACACTAATAGAATCGAAAATGAAAATCGAACACTAAAAGAATCGAAAATGAAAATCGAACACTAACAGAATCGAAAATGAAAATCGAACACTAACAGAATCGAAAATGAAAATAGAACACTAATAGAATCGAAAATCAAAATCGAACACTAACAGAATCGAAAATCAAAATCGAACACTAACAGAATCGAAAATCAAAATCGAACACTAACATAATCGAATATCGAAAATTGTTTTTAGAGAGAACTTACATAAGTATTGAGCTGACGAACGAAACTAGAGAAATTGGAGTGTTTAAAGTATCGAGGAAGCAAGGAACTGGAGAATTTGTGATAATCCCAAACGATGAAGCTATTACGAGCTTTACTCCACGAAACAATGGAGTCCGTCAATGGATCTTCCACCATTTCAAAGGTCTTAGTGAGAAATGGAGGCGGACCTACGTCGTGTATCCCTTCGATCGGCTGGGGAGTGACACTCGAACCCGACGAAGAAGAAGAAGAACACACCGCCGTGCCGACGGCCACTGATTCCTCCGGTTTCACTTCCATTTCATCCATCGCTTTGATCAGAAGTAATTAATCTGAGATTAGAAGGTTAATGACTATGATTATTGGAAGAAGGATCGAGTTCTTAGAGTTTGATTGTATGATAATGGAGGGAAGAAACTGAATTTTAATGGCGTCGTAATGGAAGGTTCTAGGACGCTGTAAATCTCTGTCAGATGTTTATTAGAAGCTTCTTTCCACTCGTCCAATCACAAAATATCAATGGAAACTTCCCGTTTCTTCCAGGCTTTCTCAAATATATGGAGGGAAACTATTTAAAAATACATTTTTTTTAATAAAATATTAAAATTTTAATTTTAATTTTCTTATCTGCCTTTATCGACCCAAACACTTGGGCTTCCGTTTGTTGGGCTGGGCTCTAAAAAGCCCATATAATTGGATTTCTTTTCATAAAATAATAATAAATCTCTAAATTTTTAGTTTTATATTTAATAAGTTCTTAATATAATGAAAACTTATGACCTGCTAAATATTTTTTAAAATTAAGAAATTAAATAGACATATAATTTTAACATTATTTAAAAAAAAATAATTAAAAAGCAAGAGGTTTTAGTTAAAAAAAAAAAAAAAAAAAGAAGAACAACTTGCTAATTAATGTGAGTCACCGATGATATAGAAACAAAAGTGTGAAAGATGTAAAAATATGGAAAGCAATTTAAAAACTATACCTTTTATTTTATTTTATTTTAATTGCAACAGAAAAAGAAATTAAAAATTAAAAATCCCACTCACCACATTTAAATAACTTGCATTAACCCTTTTTCAAGTTGAAGGGTCCCCTCTTCGACTTCTTTTCGCCAAGTCGCATCGAAATGGAACGTCTCGCCCTCAAAACGACATGTCGCCTTCCAACTTGTACATTATTTTCCCCGAACTTTACTTATTTATTTATTATTTTACTTTACCGCTTGAAACCTACCTAATTCTTCATCAAATTATATTATATTAGCTCTCAAAAATAAACAAATAAAATTGGACTAATTATTTTTCTTCCTTAGTTCGTTGTTATTATTATTATTATTGGGAGGTGTTGGATGATGGAAGTCCCACATCGACTAATTTAGGGTGTGATCATGGGTTTATAAGTGAGAAATACTAACTCCATTGGTATGAGGCCTTTTGGGGAAGTCCAAAGCAAAGCCATGAGAGCTTATGCTCAAAGTGGACAATATCATACCATTTTGGAGAGTCAGTCGTGTTCATCTAACAATAAGAAACTTATTTTATCAGACATATATCATATTAATAATGAAAATCTAATAAAAATTAAATATTAACTATTAACAAGTCACACTCATTTTGTACGTGTGTAAGTTTATCCCGAGGTAGCTTTATGGGTAGTCACAAATTTGTTATTTTCCTCTTGAAAAAATTATTTCAGAAAATTCAAAAAGCTCAGGAGAGCAAGTGCACCACGCATTTACTAAAATTAAAATAAAATAAATAAATAAAGGAACCAGGTTGCGTAAGAGCTGACGTCAGTGACTGAGGTTTTAACCTAACTTTTAGATAAAAATTTATGTAAAACAATAATTTATATTGAAAAAAAGAGTTTGAGAGATTTAAACAAACTTAAAAGCTATTTTAAAATAAATACTAAAATTATTATGATAATAAAATTAAAATAAAACGTACAATGGAATGTACGGAAATACTCAAATCACATCATCATTTTAATTATTATGCCATAAATATTCAAAAAAATCAATCTAGTCATCAATTATTAATGGCGTGGCAGACAGACCCCGTACGCGGCGGCATCGGCCACGTACCCCATTTTCTGAGATAGACTCCACCACTGCCACTGACTGATGAGGTGGAATCTTCTTACTGGTCCACGTCATCTCCATCCTCGTTAGTTTCCCGAACCCGTGCGGGAAGGGGGAAAGCAAAAGTAAACTCCAGAGTTTGGCGACGTGTCGTTTCAGTAACATGACGATGACATGGAAAATGTCGGGTTTATTATTGTGGGTTTTCACAAACCCCGTTAATTCGGCCCACGGGGTCGACCTCCACCCACCACTCCTGTTACGCCACGTCATCTCACTTACTTTACAATTTTGATTGATTGTTTTGTTTTGTTTTGTTTTGTTTTGTTGTGTGTATTATTAGGTTTTCATACCAGAGGTAAATTCAGTTTCCCTAAACCACTTTCCACGTGGAGCCCAGTGTTGTCTTCATTTTGCCACCATCATCTTGCCCACCTGTCCATGTCAATAAAAGCTTGTCCCACGGCGGCCCTATCTCTTTTTCGGCTCATGGCACTTAATCAACTTGAATATAGTTGAATTTATTGAGACACATATTCGATCGAGACTATAGGTTTAAATCATTTTACTCTATTTATTGTCAAGCTCGAAAAAAAATCGAACACTTAAACAATCAATTAATAGTCTCTGTAGGAAAAACAAGTAGACTAATATTCCGGAAAGCAATCAATAATAAAAATGAGTAATTTTATATCAAATAGCTCAAAAGTTTCCACTTGTAGAATATAATCAATGAACAAACATCCAACGACAACCAACCAACACATGAGGACGTGAAAGCTAATAATAGTACAATGTACAAACTAGAATACTCGTGTTATGATGTTGAGCCGACTTAATTAGCTATAACAAGCTAAACACTTAACCCACAACCTTTGTAATGTTATGAATTTTCTGACTTAATTAGCTATAACAAGCTAAACACTTAACCCACAACCTTTGTAATGTTATGAATTTTCCAAGAACAAAAAAATTTGTAATATTATGAGTCGTGGGTCCATAGTCAATGGTGGCCTTTCAAGACAACGATGAGTCCCTAGTGAGGCCATTATGGGAGTGACACAAAACACATGGGGTTTAGCCTATCGAGCCTACTAAATTGGATGTCTCTCCTCCTTTAACTTCGTGTCGAGTTCCACGTACAATTGTAGCGAGGCATGTGAGACTACACTAGCTCAAGTAAAAAAAAATTATCAAGATCGTAATTTTTTTTTAATACTTTATTTTTACAAGTTTCAAATCAAATAATTATTTATGGAAATTAATTATATTGCAAGATGAAGTTTCTTCTATAGTAAGGTCACGTGATGACTAATTAATAAATAAGTTAATATTTTCATTTATATTTTAATTTAGAGTATCATTAGCGAATAAAATAAAAGGTTAATTTAAATTAAATATTTAATTTAATTATTTCTTTATTTAAAAAACTCGTTTATACCATTAGAGTATCCTATCAAATGCTATGTTTTTATATGGTTGGTCTCATTGGACGGTTCAATTGATGAAAAACATGTCCGAATAAAAAAATAAAAGAAGTTTGCATAAAGTTATTTATTTGTTTAAGCCAATTTTTACCCATATATTATATTAAATATTAAACTTGAATGAATAAGAAAATTAATGAATGGAACTTGTAATTTAATATATTATTATTCGTAAAATATTCACGCTTATAATAAGTTTAGAATAACTTTTCAGAATAATTAAACGAAAAAAATAAAAAGAAAACACTAATAAATGACGTAAGCCACCCACTCACGGCTAAAATAAAAAGAGTTACAACGACCGAACAAGTCCCTTGCCTCTTCGCAAATTTAACAATTCCCCTTCCGCTATATCTCTCTCCGCCGTCTCTCCCAATTCTCCGGCGATGAACCTCTGTGCAAACGACGTTGTATCCTCCGAACTTCCTCCTTCTCCGACCTCCTCCTCCTCCTTATCCATCGACGTCGATGAGTCGTCTGAAGCTCGGATCCGGCGGTTGATTACAGAGCATCCGGTGATCATATTCAGCCGCTCCTCCTGCAGCATGTGCCACGTCATGAAGACTCTCCTCGCCATCATCGGCGTCCATCCTACAGTCATCGAGCTTAATGATCACGACGAAATCGCTGCCGTTCCTTCTTCGTCTTTCATTCGGGATAGTTCGGCGCCGGCGGTTTTCATCGGTGGGGCTAGCTTCGGCGGCTTGGAGACTCTGGTCGCTCTCCATCTTAGTGGCCATCTCGTTCCTAAACTTATCGAAGTTGGAGCTCTCACGGTATGAACCCTTAGATTTGGAATTTCGTTTTAAATTCTCTTAAAAAAAATATTTAAAATGATTTTTTGTTCTAAAATTTATGTTAGTTTTTCAAATTCAAAGAAAAATACAATTTATTTCATTATATCATTTCTGAAAGTAAAATGAAATTAAAATTTGTGTTTGAAATGAGACATTTAAACGCTGCAGGTGGGACACGTGCAGTGCTAAAAGTGGAGAATCAGGAATGATGGTCATGCAGATGCGCTACACATGATTTCTGCCTCTGTCCAGTTGGTGGGGTACTTTTGTAATTATTGGCAAATTCTCTGGTCGCCACCGTATAACCCGTGGGTATCGTCGTAGCCTAAATATTCTCTTATTCCTCCCCAAGAAGAAAAAAAAAAAAAAAAAAAGTTAGTTTTGGTTTTATTATTACTTTTATCTCTTTTTTGTTTGTAATAGGATAATATCTTAATAATTATTAAATATAAAAATTAAAAAAGTATAATCTCAGGCTTCATTTACAATTATTGAAAAAATATAAAAAAAATATTGTTTTCAGCATTAAAATTAAAAATAATAATAATAAAAAGAAACTAAAAAAGAAAAAATTTTAAAATATACACACAATTATTAAATGTACAAAAAAAAAAGGGGGATGAAAGTTAAAAGGGCAAAATGGTAATTTCGGTTTAGAAGGAAAGGGAGAAGAATAAAGGGGGGTTTATATAATGGCGTGCCTCATCTACAACTCCGAAAAGCATTCAACATATTCGGTTTCACAGAAACCCCTATTTTGATGAACACAGATAAAGAAAGCAATATATAAAGAGAGAGTCCCCACATCTGTGTTATCATTATATATATATATATATATATATATATATATATATATATGTCAGTAAAGCATTGTTTAAAGGAGCTTTCAGAAGGTTGCAGAAGAATCAGGACGCCAACTAACTTCCTTTCCATATCAGAATCTCTTCTTTTTTTTCTTATTACTGTTCTTAACAAACAAAAATCAATCAATCTTTATGTAATTGCTGATCGGTTAAGGAACACGGTCAAAGCAACGATATCGTGCTCGTTTCTAAACCCTACAAGATGTGTCATCAAATGTCAGATAGTGTTCTTCCTTCTGTTACAACCCGCCCCATTTCATGAACTTCTTCACCTCGTCGTACAAAACAAGGATTGCAGCTGCACCTGTACTTCTGAACATGTTCGAAACGGCGCCTCGATAGAAAGAGCTAACCCCCTCCTTTCGATAAATCGTCTTCCAGCAGTCTAGAGTGCTGTTGTACATCGGTTTATCCAGCCCGGATTGCATCATCATTCGCCTTCTAACCGTGTCGAATGGATACGACAACAATCCAGCAGAGGTTGTGACCACTTGAGCCACTCCCCAACGCTTCCATAGAGCCAACTCTGATTTAGACTGTTCTACCAAAATCTCTTTCATGGTGTCAAAGCCTCCAAAATAAAGGCCTCTGTGCACCACCATTCCTTGTAGAGAGGCTGGAAGGCCCCTGTAAATCCCTCCAATCCCATCCTTCTTGTGTATGGTAGCAAGGAAATGGCAGATGCCTCGAAACTGTCGGACGTCGGTTCTTCCGATATCAGCAGCAAGGCGTGTGTGCGAAATATCTAAAGGGTATATTAAAATCAATGTTGAACAACCTGCAGCTGCCCCAGCTATAAAATTGGCTGATGGACCAGAAAGAAAGTGACCATCTACAAAGCTATTCCTTAACATGTCTTTATATAGATCCTGTATATGAAAAACAACATTCAGAAACCATAAACTCACTTCATGAATTCACCAAACCATCAGTCACTACAAAGACTAATCGATATTTCAGACGCCCGGAAGTTCTAAATCGAAAATGAGCATGCAGAAGGCCTACCAGAAAAGCACATAACACAACATTTCCAGAAATGGAACACGAGAAAACCTCGAGCACAATCTTTGTTTATTCGTCGGTTTTACGACATTTCCAGCTTCGGGATATCAAAAGAGGTAACAACTAAAATGTGTATATTCTCTCCTCCATTTCTATCTCATTTTCACTCTTCAACAACTAGATTATGTCATAGAACAAGTGTAAGAGCCCACGTCAATTGGGGAGGAGAACAAAGCATTGTCTATAAGGGTGTGGAAACCTCTCTCTAATAGACGCGTTTTAAAAACCTTGAAGGGAAGCCCAACTCAGAGAGGACAATATCCGGTAGCGTTACTAATTTCACTAACATTTGCCTTCTGTCCTCACAGCATTACTAATTTGTAGCTTCTAGCTTGAATTGATTCATTAGTTCACTCCTAAGCTATCACATTTGTTGTTACTGCTATTAGTTCATCCCATTCTCACAAGGCTTTTTGCATACAAAATTCTATCAAAAAACCAATTAATTTGCCTTCAGATTCACCAGACATTCAGAAAGAAGGTGTTACTCTAAATTTGGAAGCTAATAGCAGAAAGAAACTCCGAAAATGAAGAGAAATTGGTGATATACCTTAAGAGAAAAATTGAGGGCAACAGAAGGGTAATAGCGAATAACACTGCTTCCATTGCCTCTCCATAGAGAGAGAACGCCTTCTTCTCGAACGGTGCGAAAAATACAATCGAACATACCCTTGAACCTCCTTCGCCCAACCCCAACAATCGCCAGATTGCTCTCTTGGGTCTGTAACAGAAGCTTCGCCCTCTCAATTGGGGCAACGATTGTGTGTACAAGTCCGCCCATGAAAGCCCCCGCCAACAAATCCCGATGGAAATTCACCATCCATTTGTACGCTCGCGGTGAAATCGGAACTGATCTTGAATCCCCCATTTCAAGATCATCGGCATCCTCCACACGCATTCCTCGAAACCCCTCTCCCTCTCTCTCTGCCTCTGTCTCTCTCTCTCTCTGTCTCTCTCTCTCTCTACTACACGCTAAACCAAGGATGAACGATTACCCAATTTATGGGTTCTTCCAGGAAGTTGATACCAAACAAACACCAAGGCAGAGAACTCAGTTCGTTGGTTAATCTATCCTTAACTCTCTAACCTTGAAACTTGAAAAGGGCTTTTTCCCTCGTTTTGGTTTTGTTGCAGGCCCCTCTCGGTTTGGGCAACAAAATAGAAGCAAGAAGAAGAAGAAGAAGAAATAGTTACACGATTCCTGCCAAAGGTTGAACTTGATGGGATGGTCACGAAAACCGACGGCCCTGATTGGTTCTGATCAGGTGGAAGCATGGAAATGCACGCAAAACGGACCGATTTCGATCCTTCTTATCGCTACGTAATCCCCTTTTTGGTGTTTCTCCCCATTTCAACTTCAATTGAAAATTCTATCTCGGATTTATCCAAATTCTTTTATTTCATATTTCATTAAAACTCATTCCCACGTGGCATTATTATTTTTGCTAAGGGCATTATCGACATTTCACATCAAGTTTAAATGTATTTCATATAATTTAGCTTATTTAGTAAAAAATAAATAAATATAAAAATGTAATCTTTTCTGAAGTTGGAAATCTCTCTCTAATTATTAGATTATCCATCAATATTTTACCTACCTTTTTACTTTTTTACCCTTTAATTAATTCCCTTGGGTTAGTTAAATTACCCTTCAAAATACATAGCATAGTCATTTAAAGTCTTCGCTTTGTAATTCTTAATCAAATAAGCAATAATTAGAGTGAACTGATCTATTTTTGTTCACATACAGAGAACTGCAAAGACATTTCACTACTGGGTAACTTCTTTTATTTTGTAAATTTAGCAGGAAAACTGAAGGCATCGAGCTTCAGAAACTCATGATTTGAGCATTCCACATCTTCCAAACCTTCAAACTGGAAATCACTACAGATTGAGTTCCGTTGTTGAATGCGTATAAACGAGCATCGTCATCGACAGCCAAAGTCGGATATACTCGGGAAGTGATGCAGGTTTTTCCTTTTCCTCCAAAGCTCTCAACTATAGACCGGTCTACCTGCAAATTCAACGACAAAAGATGAACAACAATGACGAGCAACCCAAGTGAACATCACGAGCTAATCGGATGTACCAGTGTTCTCAATGATATCTTCTCGTGGCGTGGATCTACGTCTACGAACGCTCCATAAGTGGTTTTATCTACCCCTTCTCTAAAAGAGGACCTATCAGTTCAAAAGAACAGCCAATTCAGTTGAGTTTGTAAGCCAAAAAATGCCTTCAAAATGGTTGTATATAGACAGCCAAAGACATGGATTTGACCTGCTCTGATCACTGCACATCAGTACTACATATCTGTTATGAGCTTTAAGAACACGAAAAAATATCGCAGTGTGTTCAGACAAGTCATTGGAAGCTAAAACCAACAACCCAAATGGCCCAACTCTGCCATTCACTGATGCATCTCTTTTACTACAAAGCAATTGAGGATCAAGATCAAACCATCTTGTGTCCACTCTCTCAGCCTCCTCTAAGTATGGAAACTCAAACGAAACTTCCGCGTCCACCTTAAACCATTTGATCATACAGTTAAGTCGAGAAAAATTGATCACACTGTGCAAAATTATAACAGTTCAAAGCCCACCACTAGCAAATATTGTCATGTTTAGGCTTTCCCTTTAAAGGCTTCCTCTCGAAATTTTAGAACACGTTTATTAGAGAGAGGTTTCTCACACTCTTATAAGAAATGCTTCTCCAACCAATCTGGGATCTCACAATCCACCCGCTTGAGACTCGCGTCCTCGCTTGTACACCGTCCGGTGTCTGACTCTAATAAACCCCACCGCTAGCATATATTGGGTTGTTACAAATGGTGTCAGAACTAGACACCAAGCAATGTGCAAACGAGGATGCGATGTCTCACAATCCACCCCCTTGGGGGCTCAAATTCTCGCTTCCACACCACCAATTTGTAACAGCCCAACACTAGTAGATACTGGGTTCTTACAAATGGTATCAAATATCAGAGCCAAACATCAAACGGTGTGTCATCAAGGAAGCTGGCCCCTAAGAGGAGTGGATTGTTAGATCCCACATCGATTGGAGAGGAGACCAAAACATTTTTTATAAGAGTGTGGCAACCTCTCCCTTGTAGACGCGTTTTAAAACTTTGAAAGAAAAGCCTAAACAGAACAATATCTATTAACAGTGAGCTCGAGCTCGAACTCGAACCGTTTCTGTATACTGACCTGAGAAGCTGAGCCACCAAGGACTTTCATGGTTGATCTCCCTCTAAGTTCTTTATTATACAAGCTAAAACGGTTTGTGCGCAACTTCTCAACTTCCTTAACTGGCCACTGAATCAGCTGCCTTCCAGTCTTAGATAGCCAAATCTTTCGAGGAACCACCTGCATGTCCAAGTTTAATAACCAAACATTCATCCAGTTCATTCCATAATCTAATATATGAAAAATGGGTCATGATTTACCTGAAGACCAGCCCATCCCTTCTTGATATTATCTTCTCTGCTATCAGATTCATTAACCCAACCCCACAAGATCCTCCTCTTCTGGGAGCTATCATAAAACGTCTTGGAAGCATAGAACTTCCCATAATCATATCTCAATCCTAAGTTTGTTCCTCTAAGATCAAAACCATCACCAGAATCAGAGGTGAACTTCTCTTTCTCAGGAACATAGCTTCCCAATGTATAATAATCATGAGAGTTAAAACTAGCTTTCATCACATACTTAACAGCACCAACACGGAATCCATTCAAAGAATCAATCCCATTCGATCCATTAAGTTTCACAGGGTAAAAATCAGGGCATTCCCAATTTCCAGAATCTCGAGAGGAATAAAGAGGAAACCTGGATTGATGCCAATGAACGAAGTCCTCACTTCTGTAAAGCATCGCCGCGCCTCCATAGCTCGTCTGGCCTCCAATGACGATCCGCCATCCGCCATCTGGGCCTGGCCATGCCGTTGTTGGGTCTCTAAATCGGTGTCTCTCAATGCCATTGGGAGGAGCTATGATCGGATTATGTGAAGATTTTGTCCAAATTTCAAGAAAAGGGTCTGAGAAATTGCTGGGGATTGCTAGATTCTGAACCTGCTGGAAACTGGAATCGAGTCCAGTGTAGAGAATTACGGGTTTGTTGTTATGGAGAAAGGAAACGGAACCGGACCAGCAACCATTGATATCGAATGGATGAGTGGGCTCGAGGGCATGATTCAGATGAGCCCAATTGATTAGATCGCGCGATACTGCATGACCCCACACAATTTTGCTGTCGAAAACCGCTCCATTAGGGTTGTGCTGGTAGAACAAGTGGTAAATTCCTTTGTAGTACATCGGCCCTTTCATCAACAATTACAAAATGCCTATTTTTTAGCAAGTATTTTGCACAATTTTTGTAATTATTTCACATAATATCATGCACTAAACATATTCTTACCATTAGGATCTGCACGATGATATAATAGAACACATCGATCGTTCATCGACAAAAAAATAATAAAAAATCAAAGTTAGAAGATGAAATAAAGAGGGAAAATAGTGAAAGAAACGGAAGAAAATATGTGTTACCATTCATCCAATTTTGGAGGGGTTGGAAATGATAAGATGTTCTTTGAAATTGTTGTGGAATATGAACTTCATTGATATCTCCATGAGAGACCACAAACCCAAATCTATTGCTTATAAGCCAAACGAAGTACAATGCAACAAGCCCACACTTGACCATTTCCATCCATTTTGTTGCCATTTCGTAGAAGCGCTACTCATCCATATAATCTTAACGTTCATCGTGTATATATATAGTTTTCAATGTATATAAGTTAGGTTCATTTTTCCAACATGAACATATTTCGGTTGTTTTAAGATATTATAATTTTGGTTTAGGGTTTAGGGTTTAGGTTTGTTATGTATTATCGTTAGACTCACAGGATTAAAATACATCTACAAGGGAGAGGTTTCCACACCCTTATAAAAAATGTTTCGTTTCCCTCTCCGACCGATATGAGACCTCACAATCCACCTCCTTAGAGTCAACGTCCTTGTTGGCACACCCAGTTAGAGAGGGGAACAAAATATTCATTATATGGATGTGGAAACCTCTTTCTAATAGATGCGTTTTAAAACCGTGAAGCTAACAGCAATGCGTAATGGTCCATATAATATTTATTGGTTTGCATAAAAAATCTTTATTAAGCTAAAAAGAAGGTTTTAAGATCACTTTTTTCCAAAATAGAGTATACCACAAAACCATAAATTATATTTAATATATTGAATTTCCAATTGTTTTAATAAAATGAAGAAAGCACATGGGACTATTAAATTAAATTTGTTACATTGATACGAAAAGCAATGCAAAAAGATCGCCCTTTAAAACGACGTTTCCATCTAATACATATAACTCAATAAATTTCTGAGTATCAATTAAGTCAAACCTAAGAGAATTAGGTTTTTACTTGAACTAAGCTAAATTTATTAATCACCGGAATCGGTACTTTAAAACTTAAATATCGAACGCACCTACTCATTGAAGGACAAAAAAGTAAATTCCCTCTATTTTAAATTTACAAGTATGAATTAAAAAAAATAATATAGCATAATTTCTAAAGACATTTTTTAGTTTTTTAAATTTAATTAAAATTTGATCAAAAAAGGAAGAAAACTTAATTGTTATTTAATTTGTATCTATGTATGAATTAATTATTGTATTAATTCCAATAATCTCTCACTCGAATAATTTTCGTTTTAAGTAATTATTAATAATTTTTAATCGTCAATAGAGTTATATTTTTTTTAGATACGAGCTAAACATGTAAATTATAAATTTAGTTTTTAAATTTTAAAATTTGTGTTTATTTAATATCTAAATTTTTAAAATTTGACTTTTCATTTATTTTCCGAATTAATATACTCTATATATTAATTTAGTATTATTTATGTTAATTACCAATTAAACTATGCAATAATTATAATTAATCACTGCATCTTCTAATTTCAAAAAGTCGGCAAAAACCACCGAATCGAAATTGAGTTATTATTGTTATCTTTTTTTTAAAAAAATTCAATATAAGGAAAATATTCAATCACTAATAAGTTGGTCTCCCAAAAAAACCCACCACTAAGGTGATCGGTTACGAACTTCCTCCCCCGTCTCTCTCTTTTCTCAAGGATCTGTGTTGCGGATGAATATTCACAGGGATTTCAGCGGAATCGTCGCCGGAGTTGACGCGGACTACAAAAACCAGAATCCTCCGACGATGCAGGCTTGCGCTGCGTGCAAATTTCAGAGACGAAAGTGCACTGCGGATTGTCCTCTGGCTCCGTATTTTCCTGCAGAGCGGTTTCGGGAGTTTCGAAATGTCCGCAAATTGTTCGGCGTAAAGAACGTGTTGAAAACCCTAGGCGATTTGGAGCCTTCGAAGAGACGTGATGCAGTGCAGTGTATAATTTTCGAGGCCAATTGTCGCGCCAGTGATCTCGCCGGAGGTTGCTACAAAATTATTGCTAAAATGCAGCGTGAAATTACTCTTCTGGAGGCTCAGCACCGTCTCGTCCTCCGTCAGCTTCGATTTTACCGGCAGACGGCTGCGTGTGCGATTCGTTCGGAATTTGATTTTGATTTTGAAGATCGGATACGAAAAGAATCCTGCAGTTTGAATGAGCGGTTGACGGCTAGGGAGAATGGAGTTTGTTGTTCCAAAGGGGTAACCCATTAGGGATCTTTTACTTTTTTTAGATTATTTGAATATCTTGTAGAACAAACAATATTACAAGTATTTTGACATCCTAAAATTGGGGAAATTACCCTTTAAATTGATACATATTTAATTTTTATTTTATGTTAATTTTTTCATGTTTGGTATATATATATATATATATATATAGTCTTATATTAACTATGAACATTGTTTAATAACCTATGGGCTCTTTTCTTTATAAGGAAAATATTATTTTAAAACTTAAATTTCTTTTTTCTATTTCAAAATCTTTTACGTTGAAAACCATTAGAGGAATAGTTCCACGTTGATTAATTCAGAGATAGGTCGTGATAACACACTATGTTGAGAGGAGTGGTCTCATGTTGATTAACTAAGAGATAGGTCATGATAACACACTATGCTGAGTACTATTAAGAGTAGTCCCACGTTGGATAAAGTCATGAGAGTTTATGCTCAAAATGGACAATATTATACATTGTGTAAACTCTATGGTGTACTTTGCGGAAAATATCGGCTAGTGGTGGATTTGGACTGTTACAAATGATATCAAAGTCATACTCCAACCGGTGTACCAGCCAGTGAGAATGTTGCCTCCAAGAGGGTAGATCCTGATAAACAAAACATTTTTTATTATAAAGATGTGAAGACTTATTCCTAGCAGACAATGTCTTAAAACTGTGAGGCTAACGATACTATGTAACGGGTGAGCAGATATCCGATCATGGTAGGTGTAGTGGTTTCTAACCAAAAAAAAAAAAGTCCTTTTTACTCGAATTGAAATTCTATTTGCCAAAATCCATAGCAATTAACAATATGGGTAATAAATTCAAACATTTGAAAATAAAATAAAAATACATAAGACGTGAAAGAAAATGAAATTAAAAAAAAAAAAAAAGAAAGAGAAAGGGCAAAAAAGGAAGAATGGTTGGAAATGGTGAAAGAGGGCATAAAGAGTGTCGACACTATCGGCCTCATTCTGAAGCAAAAAGTCGTCGCTGTTAGTTAGTTCCGCTGCGTGTGCCCTCCATTCCCTTCCATTATGTCGACACTCTTCTCTCATGCCCCTTCTTCCTTCCTTCCCACTTCTCCACTTCCTTCTTCCTTCTCTCTCTTTCTTTTTCTTCCCCTTTTTCTCTCTTTTTCGTCGCCGACCGCTCGCTGTCGCTGCTTTATTTTTAAACCCAAATGAACCCTTCTCCTCGCCGAACGCCGCATCAATCACTCCTCTTCGCCTGATTCCATTTCAGCCACTTTTCCCATTCCGAAGATCCAGATTTGGGTTCTTCACAGTCACTGCCTCTTCTTAATTCCTTGCTCAAACTTTCTTCTTCTCTCATGTTCTTCCTCGAGGTCGGTTCGAATCCCCTGCTTTTCTGTTTGACTTCTCTCTTCTTTCCCCGAATTTGTTTTTAGATGATGGATTCCCTGTTCTTTTCTTTTTCAGAATTTGTGGCAGATGCTCTGTGTTCAAGGTTTCCAGGATAAAGCTCGAGTTCTCTCCGGTAATTTCCTTTTCCCCAATTAATCTCTTTTCCTTGTGTCTTGGCTGATTTGAATCGAATTGGATTAATTGTGGAATTTTGTGGTTTCCTAATTTGATGTACTGATTGCTGACAGTTTGTATTGTGTTCTTAATTCTTGTAATTGATTAGTATATTGGTTCATTCGTGATTTCTAGGGTTTAGTAATATTAGATTTCTAAGCTGGGGAGTTCTCGTTTTTTGATTTCCTGATTAAAACAGAGTCTCTTATCCGGACCGTATCCGAATCCATGGGCAATTCGGATTGTGGCGTCTCGGAGTTAGAACTCTGTAGAGACGATTCGGCTGCGTTTCATTTCAAATTAATCGCCATCGCCTCCATTCTCACATCGGGAGTCATCGGAATCGCCATTCCATTGTTTGGCAGCCAGCGCCGGTTTCTCAAAACAGACGGAAATCTGTTCGTGACGGCGAAGGCGTTTGCCGCCGGTGTAATTCTCGCCACCGCTTTTGTGCACATGCTTCCGGACGGATCGAAAGCCCTCTCCGATCCGTGCTTGCCGAAATTCCCATGGTCGAAATTCCCCTTCTCGGGATTCTTCGCGATGATGGCGTCGCTGTTGACACTCCTCGTCGATTTCGTCGGGACTCAATACTACGAGCGAAAACAGGGGGTGATTCGATCGAAAGAGGAGGAGAACCGGGTCGGGTCGGTGGAAGATTCCGGGTTGGAATCGGGCATTCTTCCGGCCGGAGATTTGAACGTGAAAGTGTTCGGGGAAGAAGACGGCGGCGCGATGCACATCATTGGAATGCATGCCCACGCCGCCCACCATCGTCACAGTCATCCGCAGGGGAAGGAGGCATGTGATGGGCACGTGAGAGTCCACGATCATGGCCATGGAGGACATGGTCATTCTCATGGGCTTGACGGCGACGATGACGAAAGCGGTGTACGACATGTCGTTGTTTCCCAGGTAATTTTTTTTTTTCTCTTCGAGTTTTCGCCTCCACGTGTCAATGTCGCTTGACTTACTGACCAACTTCTTTTCATCCCTCCTTTTTCCTCATGCCTTGTGAGGAACATAAATTCCTAAGCCAAAGTCAACGCATCGTAATTTGTTTCAAATAGTTCATTTTTCTTTAATTATAAATTTAGTTCTTTTTTTGTCGTCCATAATTTTTTATAATTCTTTCAAAATTTCAATTTTAAATTTTGTATTAATTATTTATTTAACCTTTTGAATTTATTAAATATATTTTTTAAAATTTTAGAAACTATATAGATATAAAATTTATAATTCAAATTTAGTAATTTGTTTTCAATAATTTTATTATTAGTGGTGAGTTATTAAATATAAAATTTAAAGTTGAAATATTTATGAAATATAAAATAGATAGTTTAGATAATTATTAGAAACATTTTATGCTTTTAAATTGAAATATTAAAATTTAAAGAGTAAAATAAAAAAGGTATTTTTGGGCAGATTTTGGAGCTTGGGATAGTGTCACATTCAGTGATAATTGGACTGTCTCTGGGAGTGTCCCACAGCCCATGCACCATTAGACCCTTAATTGCAGCCCTGTCCTTCCATCAGTTCTTTGAAGGCTTTGCCCTGGGCGGCTGCATCTCTCAGGCTCAGTTCAACACCCTCTCCACCTCCCTCATGGCTGTCTTCTTCGCCATCACCACGCCCATCGGCATTGCCATAGGCACGGCGGTCGCCTCCACCTACAACCCGAACAGCACTGGGGCGTTGATTGCAGAAGGGATTTTGGACTCTCTATCCGCGGGAATTCTGGTGTACATGGCTTTGGTTGATTTGATCGCAGCTGACTTTCTTAGCAAGAGAATGAGCTGCAATTTTAGACTCCAAATTGTTTCTTATTGTACTCTATTTCTCGGGGCGGGGCTGATGTCTTCGCTCGCTCTCTGGGCTTGACTTCAAATTCTATTTCTTTTCCTGTTCTTTGAAGTTGTATTACAAGGAAGCATAGCGAATTCATGGCTTCCAGAAGGGTTTGAAAGTACCCAACGCTTTAGATAGATTCTGTACACTTAAAAAGTATCTCCTCTGAAATTGTTCAATGCCAACTCAAAAGGGGTCTATTGGATTCGCCATCCAACAGGGGCATGGTTTGTTGATATATGTTCTTTCTGACAAAATGGGGATAATCTATAAGATGACGATGTACAATTTTGGTTTAATGATGCACTCTCATGGAAGATAGGCTTATCATATAGTGGCTAAATCAAGAATATTCCATCACATTTGGGCTAAAACAAGATAGGGCTTAGAAACCTTATAATATGATCACTTTGACTTACTGTAAAAACAAAGTAAAGCGATTTTGATAAATTGTTAAAATTTGAAGATCCATTGAAACACAATCCCTTCTGCAATTCATTTGGTTCCTTTCAATCCTGAGCAATACCTTGTTTGGGAGTTGGTTGGCTGTGATTCCCCACTGTCGCAAGAAAATGGGCCGTCTTTTTCGAACCTAGGTGCGCCGTCATCCACCACTTACCAGCTCCACCATATCTCATCCTCTCATTTTCTATGTTTTTCTTTTCTTCACTTCCAATTTATTGAATTTTTTCTTTTATTACCAACAAAAGGATTCAATTCTTTATTAATATCAATACCCATTTTTTCTCTGTTTCTGGAAATCAATGAACTTTCGCTCATGGAGTAATTGACAGACGTAGCCATTAATTTAAGATTTCGACGAACACAGCATAACCCATAAGCTATGGAACGAGTGCGGCGGTTGGCGAACAAGGCGGCGCTGAGGCGCCTTGTTTCATCGTCGAAGCACCTCCGTCAAATCGACTCTCCTCCATTGTTCAATTCCCCTGTTTTCTCTACGCCTTCGAGGTATGTCTCTTCGCTGTCTTCTAATTCGTTCTTGTGTAGACGCGCAAGAACGGATTCATTTCTTCATCGGAATGCAATCGGAATTGGGTCGCAAACCCGTTCGATATCCGTCGAGGCATTGAAGCCAAGCGACACTTTTCCTCGCCGCCATAACTCTGCAACCCCCGAAGAACAGAGCAAAATGGCAGAGTTATGTGGGTTCGAAAGCCTTGATTCGCTCGTCGACGCCACTGTCCCCAAATCGATTAGGCTCCAATCCATGAAATTCTCCAAGTTCGATGAAGGGTTAACTGAGAATCAAATGATTGAGCATATGCAAAACTTGGCCTCTAAGAACAAGATTTTCAAATCGTATATAGGGATGGGGTATTATAATACTTTTGTTCCTCCTGTTATTTTGAGGAACATAATGGAGAATCCTGCTTGGTATACTCAGTACACGCCATATCAAGCTGAGATTTCACAGGGCCGTCTTGAATCTTTGCTTAACTATCAAACAGTAATTACAGATCTCACTGGCCTCCCCATGTCCAATGCCTCGTTGCTTGATGAAGGGACGGCAGCTGCTGAGGCTATGGCAATGTGTAATAATATCCACAAGGGGAAGAAGAAAACGTTCATTATCTCGAACAATTGCCACCCGCAAACGATCGATATTTGTGTTACTCGAGCTACCGGGTTCGATCTTAAAGTAGTGACTGCAGATCTTAAGGATATTGATTATAAATCTGGTGATGTTTGTGGTGTTCTTGTTCAGTATCCTGGCACTGAAGGGGAGGTTTTGGACTATGGGGAGTTCATTAAGAATGCTCATGCTAATGGGGTTAAGGTTGTGATGGCGACCGATCTTTTGGCGTTGACGATGTTAAAGCCACCGGGTGAATTAGGGGCCGATATTGTCGTTGGATCTGCGCAGCGGTTCGGTGTTCCAATGGGGTATGGAGGTCCTCATGCTGCCTTTTTGGCCACCTCTCAAGAGTATAAGAGAATGATGCCAGGAAGAATCATCGGTGTTAGCGTCGATTCATCGGGTAAACCTGCGCTGCGTATGGCGATGCAAACTAGAGAGCAGCATATCAGGAGGGACAAGGCTACTAGCAACATTTGTACTGCTCAGGTATTGAGATTATAATTCATATGATGATTGGGTTGGTTTTGCTTTGAACATGTATGGTTTGTTTAGGCGTTGCTGGCGAACATGGCTGCGATGTACGCCGTGTATCACGGACCGAAGGGCCTCAAGGCGATTGCAGAGAGAGTTCATGGCCTCGCCGGTGCTTTTTCGGTCGGACTGAAGAAACTAGGCGCTGCAGAAGTTCAAGGTCTTTCTTTCTTTGACACTGTAAAGGTTAAGGTTGCTGATGCAAATGCAATTGCAGATGCTGCTTACAGGAGTGGTATTAATCTACGAATCGTCGACAAAAACACGGTAACCAAACTTCTGTATTTTGCATCGATTGTTCAACAAAACAGTTCATGTCGTTTGATTAATTGTTGATGGATTGCCTTTCAGATCACTGTTGCTTTCGATGAAACGACGACCTTAGAGGACGTTGATAACCTTTTTTCAGTTTTCTCTGATGGAAAACCAGTAAGTATTTGAATTGTATCTAAACATGTAATGGGGATAATCTTGGTTCTATTTTCATGCATGGGAATGTCTTCTTGTTGTATAGGTTCCGTTTACCGCTGCATCTCTTGCTCCCGAGGTCGAGAATGCAATTCCTTCAGGGCTAGTGAGGGAAAGCTCGTACCTTACCCACCCGATCTTTAACACGTACGCATCGTTTGCAGTTCTTGTAATATGAAGTCCCATAGCTAAAACTATAGGAAGTTTAATTCCATGACTTATATGTTCTGCTATGCATCAGGTACCATACAGAGCATGAATTGTTGAGGTACATCCAGAGGTTGCAATCGAAGGACCTTTCGCTGTGCCACAGTATGATTCCGTTGGGATCTTGCACAATGAAGCTAAACGCAACGACAGAGATGATGCCCGTAACGTGGCCCGGTTTCACCAACCTTCACCCTTTTGCTCCTATTGACCAGTCTCAAGGATATCAGGTAAGTTTTTGTTCTTACATGAAAATGATTGGCCAAAGGGACAAAAGAAATATTGTGTTCATGTCGGATTCCATTGTGCAGGAGATGTTCAGTGATTTGGGAGACCTGTTATGTGCAATAACTGGGTTTGATTCTTTCTCATTGCAACCAAATGCTGGTGCGGCCGGAGAGTATGCTGGCCTCATGGTTATCCGTGCTTACCACATGGTGCGTTTTTTTTTTCCTCATTTTAGTTTTTTTGGTGCCTTTATGTGAGATCCCACGTCGTTTTGAGAGGAACGAAATAAGGATGTGGAAAGCTCTCTCTAGTAGACGCATTTTAAAACTTTGAGAGAGCCTAAAAAATATAATATCTACTAGCGTTGGCATGAGCGGTTACAAATGGTATCATTCCGCAGGCAAGAGGAGACCACCACCGCGACGTGTGCATCATTCCGCTATCAGCACACGGGACCAACCCCGCAAGTGCAGCCATGTGTGGAATGAAGATCGTATCGGTTGGAACCGATTCAAAGGGAAACATCAACATTGCAGAGCTGAAGAAGGCTGCAGAAGCCAACAAGGACAATCTCTCAGCACTCATGGTTAGATCCTAGAATTTGAGGAGCTAATGCTTTGACTGTGATTTGAGTTTGTTTGGTTGAAATAATGATAGGTTACATATCCTTCCACACATGGAGTGTATGAAGAAGGCATTGATGAGATTTGTAAGATCATTCATGAGAATGGAGGCCAAGTCTATATGGATGGAGCCAACATGAATGCCCAGGTACGTATCATCTCGTCTTTCGATCCCTAGAACTCGAGAACGCTGTTAAACAACCTATAGAACAGATCCTTTCAAGTAATCAGAGTAGATTTTGGGTGTGTTCTTCAGGTGGGTCTAACAAGCCCAGGTTGGATTGGAGCTGATGTTTGCCATCTCAATCTCCACAAAACATTTTGCATTCCACATGGAGGAGGTGGCCCTGGCATGGGCCCTATTGGTGTCAAGAAGCACTTAGCACCATTTTTGCCCTCTCATCCTGTGGTAAAAACATATCTCTCTTAAATTTGATTGCTATATTCATTACAATAGTTTGAATTTGGAATTTGCCAATTTGAACTCCGAAGATACCTACTGGAGGCATTCCTGCTCCCCACAAAGCACAGCCTCTCGGTACCATAGCTGCTGCACCATGGGGTTCTGCTCTTATTCTCCCAATATCTTACACTTACATAGCCATGATGGGGTCTGAGGGCCTAACCAGCGCGTCTAAGATCGCCATTCTGAACGCTAACTATATGGCTAAACGTTTAGAGGTTTCTGATTCTTATGCTTGTTGTTCCTTTCACATCTTCTTTCCAGTTCTCATTCTCATAGATCTTAATATTTGCTTTGAAAACTGCAGAATCATTACCCCGTTCTCTTCCGTGGTGTCAATGGAACAGTTGCCCATGAGTTCATCATCGACTTGAGAGGCTTCAAGGTAATTTCTTGCGTTAAATTTCTCTTGATGTTTACATCCAACTATTAAACGCTTAATTTGACGTGAAATTGCGGCAGCAAACTGCTGGGATAGAGCCTGAAGACGTTGCTAAGCGTCTAATGGACTATGGTTTCCATGCACCCACCATGTCATGGCCTGTCCCGGGCACGCTCATGATCGAACCCACAGAAAGTGAAAGCAAGGTATCCCCCTTTTCACGTATGCTCTTGCCCGATCCCAATAACTTCCTTTTCACATATACATTTTGCAGGCGGAGTTGGACAGATTCTGTGATGCCCTTATTTCGATCAGAGAAGAAATCACCCAGATTGAGAAAGGAAAAGCTGATATCAACAACAACGTCCTGAAGGTGAAGTCCTCTTCTCTACAGCTTAATTACTTCAGCATTTTTCATCTGATAGACCTTAACAAGCTTAATTACTAATCCAGGGTGCACCTCATCCACCATCTCTGCTAATGGGAGATGCATGGACAAAGCCATACTCTAGGGAATATGCAGCTTTTCCAGCTTCCTGGCTCAGGGCTTCCAAGTTCTGGCCATCTACAGGTACACACGAGTGACTCGTTTCTAATTTCTCTACCTGATTTATGTTGGCATTATCCCTCTCTCTTACAAAACGGAATTTCGGGTTCAGGACGTGTTGACAATGTGTACGGTGATCGCAACCTGATTTGCACCCTACAACCAGCGAACCAGGTTGTCGAGGAAGCAGCAGCAGCAGCAGCAGCCACTGCTTAGTTTCCTACTTCACTGCACCTTTCCTGCAAGACTCTCAATGATATATAATATCCTCACTATTTCACCGCCCCTGCACTGTACATATGTTACCAATATTCATATTTGTCATTTACACTTTCCTGATATGCTGCAATATAACATTTGTAGTAATTTTTGGCTTGGCTCCCTTTTCCCCTTCCTGTCCTCTTTTCTTTAATAGATGAATCTTTCAGCTTAAAAAGCAAAACGTATTTGCATTAATTTCCAATTTTGAAACTGACGTTATCATAACAATGCAATTCTTATAAACAGAAGCCATTCTCCACGAAAATCGTAGCACTCACAATTTTCCTTTCCCAAGCATCAGAGTATAAGCAAAATTTGGAATCCATAACGTGCTTCTGGCAAAGTGTTCCCAAGCAAAACGTGTGTGCTTTGAGGGACTTATTCTCATTTTGAAAGTCTTGAGGTGTTGTCCATCTCAAGCTCCATACTTGGGGGCCTTCCAAAGCTTAAAAGCTACCTCATGTATAAATCTATCTGCAGGTATCACGAGGTTGCTGCCTTGCTGAAAAAGAAAGGGTCCTCTAATAAATGCCTCAAACCATCCAATCAAGCACAGACCAGGGAAACCAGATTTGAAGAGTAATCTTAAGTTCATATTCATGAAGAGAATACATGGAATTCAATTCTTGCATTATGTCAAGCTGAAAGATCCTCATATCATGCAAGCAACATAATAATGATGTAAGAATAATGCATCCACATGTAATTCCAGAATTTAAGATGATAATTACAACATAAACATTATAATCATGTTAGAAGTAGAGCCCGTCAAGACTAAGAGACCATCCTATTGCTTAAGGCAGCACAAAGCCTCAGTAGTTCAAAGGCCAACCAAGATGACATACATTTCCACGGATGAATGCATGAAACAATGAAAAGCATGGAAGCAATAGGAGAAAAATATTGAACTTTACCTCTTTAAACTCCTTGAAAGAAAATGTTTCTGCTTTATCTTTGCGGGTTACTCCATATTGCCACTGAGCAGCTAACATGGGTGAATGATGCCTTGTTCATTACAAAATATCAGATAATGCAAGGGATATCAGCCAATAAAATTTTGAAACCCCATTAATCCAAAGAAAAACCATTAATTTTGACTCACCGAACATCATTCCGTGGGACCTCCCCCATCATCGTGTAACTTTGACGGGGAAAGAGCGCTGACAAATCAGAATTTTTCACATCTTTGGAAGTCAAAACAGACAAGTTGCATTCGTCATCCTTAAAAACATTTCCATAGCTCATCACAAGGGACAAGTGCAAACGGGAACCAATTTCTGATCCAGGCTGAGCCTTTTGCAATATATCACCAACCAAAGCATCAATATATTTCATCTCATCCGAAGTTGTTTTGTCTTTCTCGCCATTAACTTTGTCGCCAACTCCCATATGTACAAACAAAAAATCAAACTCGCTTGTATCTTGTATCTTTCCATCTTGAAAACCAAGCTTCTTCAGCAATTCAGAGGCCACAAAGTCAACTGATGGCAACCCGAGATGGTTCGTTTGCATCAACTCCTCCAGTCGCAACAGAGACACACCAAGTTCAGAGCCCAGATATTGCACACTTGAACTATTTGTCAGTATTGCAGCTTTCATTCCCATGAACCTAAAGTAGCAACACAAAACCACCAGCCAAGTTGTTCATAAACCAACCACAGGGATTCATCCTACTGATGACATCAACTGAACAGATACCATAAGGATAAACTACCTTTCAGGTATGGACTTTTTCTGACTACTTCCTTCGCAGCCATCTCCATTCTGAAAAACCAAATATTATCTTTCATTGTAAAATTAGTCCCTGGTGCTCAAAGAGCAGAAATATCATACCTTATTGACGAATGAGTCACATGCATTGAATAGAAGCGCAAGCTCTCGAATCATCCTTTTTTCCTCACTCTCTGCAATCTAAAACATCAAATGAATTCCAATACGAGGAAGATATAAGGGAAGGCCAACAAAATCCTTTCAGTAGCCCGTACAATAAGTTCAGTAATTAAATAAACTATTGCCTTCACTCAGGTTATACATGTTTGGATCAATAAATAGAAGTTCTGATAATATGGGAAGGAAAAAAACACCTGTATCTAAGCGAAATGCCTAATAACAAGGTTGCTTAACTAAATTATCCTCCATCCCTCATTTTCCATACTTCATATTCACTGAAATGGCAGCCATAAGCCTGAGAAAACATGGACGACAGTGGACCAGTAACTGCCCAAGCCCACCGCTAGCAGATGTTGTCCTCTCTGAACTTTTCCTTTCTGGCTTTCCCTTAAGGTTTTTAAAAGGCGTCCGCTAGGGAGAGGTTTTCATACCCTTATAAAGGGTGTTTTGTTCTCTTCTCCAACCGATCTGGGATCTCACATTCCACTCCCTTCAGGGCCCAGAGTTCTCGCTAGCACTCGTTCCTTTCTCCAATTGATGTGAGACCCCCACCAAATCCACCCCCTTCGGGGACAGCATCCTTGTTAGCACATTACCTCATGTCCACCCACTTTCGGGGCGCAGCCTCCTCGCTGACACAACACCCGGTATCTAGCTCTGATGCCGTTTGTAACGGCCCAAGCCCACCGCTAGCAGATATTGTCCTCTCTGGGCTTTCCCTCAAGGTATATTGTCCTCTCTGGACTTTCCCTCAAGGTATATTGTCCTCTCTGGACTTTCCCTCAAGGTATATTGTCCTCTCTGGACTTTCCCTCAAGGTATATTGTCTCTGGACTTTCTCTCAAGGTTTTTAAAACGCATTTGCTAGGGAGAGGTTTCCACACAAGATATTTCATTCTCGTCCCCAATGACGTGGAATCTCACAAAAAGAATATATCATATTCAACTCCCGAATGATGGCATATGTAACTAGAGTTGGCTCATGAATCATATCGCCCCGATCTTCAAAATCGAACTCTCCTCCCTAATGGGTCGAAAATTAACCAACGTCGATCAAAACCTAGTATCGATTTCATTAAGAATGGCTTCCCGAGTAACATTTTCCGTGGCACAAAGAATTGACGATTGGCAAAGTAATTTGTGGGTTTAATTTCGAACGATGAGTAATTCTCTTGCTTACAAAGAAACTAAATTCAATCAAGTCAACAGAAAATTAAATCAATAAAGAGACAGTAGAAAGCTAAACAAGATGAAAAGCATAAGCAAGCGAGAGGCGGTGATAGAACCTGAAGGAGGAGCATTGGGAAGTGACAAAAACCCACAGGAAGCTAGCGATGCGAGTGCATGTAGATGGGTATGAGATTGATCAACAAAGCGAGCCAACCCATCACCGAAAATAACTAGAGCTCGACTGGGTTTATCCGCCATTTCTGCGAGACGGCCGATTGGAAAGGGCTCGGAAGCGAAGCTTAGAGAGCGCGCGGAGGCGGTAACTGGAAAATTGGAATTGGAATTGGAATGCCAAGACAAATAAAGCGTATAAATAGATTCCCTAAATTCTACGCTGTCCAAATGGACGGCAACCATAGCGGCCTTTTTCTTTTCTCTTCTCTTCTTTTTTTCTTTTTTTTTTTTTTACTTTTTTTAATTTTTTTCCCTTTTAAGTTTTAAGATTCTCCAATTTCAGGTGAAATTATTATTAAAATTCAAATAAAACTAATTATCAATATACTAAAAAATCAAAATGTATTTAACCTAACCATAGTGTCATTTACCACAAGCCAACCTAACAATGCTTTCTCACTCGTGATCTCATCTCCCGTGTGTCAAATATTTGAATATTTTATTCTATAAATTGATGAACTTAAAAAAAAAAAAACTAAATATGTTAGAGTTACCGTTTGTAAAATTACGAGTGTGTATCGAATAGTATACTAAAGGTCGAATTTATACTTAAAAAAAAATCATAGATGAAAGACTAATATTTAAAAGTGTTATAGAGTGAGAGCTTAAAACTTTTAAAATATATTTTTAAAAAATTTATAATCAAAATAGAAATAATATTTAAAATTAACCGATGAAAATGGAAAAAAAAATGTTTCTAACTGTCTCCCACCCCCTTTTTTGGGCGGGTAAAACAAATATCTTTACATGAAATATAGATCTCTTCCAACCTATTAAACTTAAATAATAATAATAATAATAAATAATAATAAATAGATACGCGCGATCGAGTACCGCCAAAAGGCGCACATGCGGCTGGGTTCGCGGCGTTGAACAACGGTTCGTAGACTACACATTGACCCATTATCTCTGGTCTGGTTAGCCACTGACTCCTGCTTCAACCCCTACCGTCTCTCTTCCACTCTCCCCCTTTCTCTATCTCCATCTGGTTTATTTATTTCACATTCCCCCATTTCCTCAATCTCCCGAATCCTTGTCTTCCCATCCTCTCCATTTCTCTCGCATGGTGACCAATTAGCCGCCAACATTCCCTAACCACTCTGCAATGTTGAAGCTATCATTCTCACCTGTCCGCATTTTCATCTTCCTCTTCGTTATCTCTTTCCTCTTCTCTGCGTGGTTGCTTCCTTCCACCGCCCTTCCCCTCTCCGACTCGGATCAGCCGCTTCTTGCAAACGCTACTCTCCAGTCCAATAACGTATCCAGTCCGAGGAATAAGGAGGGTAGTTTTGCAGACATAATTGATCGTGCTTTGGAGAATGAGTTCAAGGACAATGACCAGAATGAAGGTTAGTAGATCTTAGATCTCGTTTGCTCACTCGATTGTGTTAGGGTTTTGATTAGTTTGTTATAGATGAGTGCGGTTATAATTCGGAATCTAAGTTAATTGTCGGATGCGGCGATGTTGGAACGATTTTGGCATGGTTTCTTCAGCTCTAGGGGTTGTGTGGTTTACTTTTTTTGTTTTCCACGAAGATCCTGGCAGTAGGACAAGATAGATGAATAATTTTGATCTGGCGTGTTCCAATTTTGTAGCTATTGGATACGCAATTCCTTTGCTCAGTAAGAGGATGCTATTACGAAATTTGTCTGTAATTACAACTGCTGTCTGAATTTTTCTTTCTGTCTGTTCGGTATGAGCTTTTCTATTGTATCATTTAGATCAATGCTTATTGATCCCGTCTGTTATTTCTATCCTTCTATTGTTCACGTTTTTTACTTCTTTTCTTAAATGTTCTAATAAATTGAGATAGTTATCCAATGCACTGTAGGTGTATATTGTTGACGGCTTCATTATTGCAGCTCATATGATGTTAGTATCTTCTATCTTCTGTTTGAGTAATCATTTCTCTCTCTTGTATTTCAGAAATTGATTCAGGAAGCTTCAACAACAGCGTAGCAGAGAAGCAGGTTGGTGGTGATATATATATTTGTTTTAATGTTGCAACCATTATTTTTTATTACTTTTGAGCACAACACGTGAATTATGGATCTTATTCGCACGAGTAAATTACACTATTTCCAGCATATGGACACAAGAATGTGCTGATTTGGTCCTCATTGATTGGCTTTGTTAATCAGGCAATTCTGGAGACTGTGGCAAGGGTAAAGTCAAAGAAAAATGATACGAAAGAGGAAAAGTATATGCTTCTAACTTTAGTATTACATTTCACTTTCAGGCCATGCTACTGAATTAAGCGTGCATTTCCCTAAATACTTGTGTTTCTAATTTAGGTTTCAGCTTCAAAATGTTTTCAATTTGGACAATGATAATAGAGCTGAAGATACTCCTACATTGATTGATCGAAAGGTATGGCCATTTCATTTTTTGTATGTATTCTGTGTCAGACATTCATTTTGTGCTGGGAGGTTGCTGAAACTTTTTTTTTTTTTTTTTTTTTTTTTTTTTTTTTTTTTTTTTT